TCTGCCACCAAAAACTACAAAATATTGCTGAGAGAAATTAACTAGAAGCAATAAATGGATATACACTGCCCACTCATGGATCAAGAGGCTCAATGCTATTAAGATGCTGGCTGTCCCAATATTATCTATACAGTCAAAGGAATCCCAATGAAAATGACACCATGCTTGACATGACAAAGTAATAATAATAGTAATAATTACTTACTATAACTTATTATTTACTTACTATAACTTATTACTAATTACTTATATTACTAATTACTTACTAATAACTTATAACTTATTATAATAATAATAATATTACTATATTACTACAGTGATAGTAAAATATGCAAAGAAGTTGAGATGTCAAAAGATCTTGAAAAGGCTGGGCACCGTGGCTCACACCTGTAATCCCAGCATTTTGGGAGGACTAGGCTGGCAGATCACGAGGTCAGGAGATTGAGACCATCCTGGCTAACATGGTGAAACCCTGTCTCTACTAAAAATACAAAAAATTAGCCGGGCATGGTGGCAGGCTCCTGTAGTCCCAGCTACTTAGGAGGCGGAGGCAGGAGAATGGTGTGAACCCCGGAGGTAGAGCTAGCAGTGAGCCGAGATCGCGCCACTGTACTCCAGCCTGGACAACAGGGGGAGACTCCATCTCAAAAAAAAATTCTTGGAAAAAAGAACAAAGCTGGAGGACTCACACTTTTCAATTTCAAAACTTACTACAAAGCTATAGTAATCAAGAGACTCTGATATGGGCAAAAGGATAGACATACACAGCAATGGAACAGAGAGAGAAAGAGACACAGAGATTGAGAAAGAGGAATCTCACAGATTGGAGGAGACTAAAGAGACATGAACTAAATGCATTATAGGATCCTGGACTGCAGCCTAAAATAGAATAAGGACATTAGGGAAAAAAAAAAAAAAACAGGTAAAATTCGAACAAGGTATGTAACTTAATTATCGGCACTGTACTGTATCTAGGTTAATTTCTAGTTTTGATCATTGTGCCATGATTATCTAAGATGTTAACGTCACAGGAAACAAGGTGAAGGATATTCTCTACACCATCTTTGCAACTCTTTTAGGTCTTAATTTCACAATAGAAAATGTTTTTTTTTAAATGAGGCATCACTGCACTTTCAATAAAATAACTAAAAGCTTAAAGATGCATAATTTCAAGTTCTGATGAAAATTCAGAGCAACTAGAAACCTCATACTTTTCTGACAGGAATGCAAAATGACACAACAAAATTGGAGAATGTTCTGGCAGTTTCTTATAAAGTTAAACACTTACTATTCAACCCAGCAATTCTACTCCTAGGCACTTACCCAAAAGAAATAAAAATTTATGTTCACACAAAGATCTGTAAGTGAATGTTTCTAACAGCTTTATTTATAATAGCCTTGAACTGTAAACAGCCCACATATCCATCAACTGCTAAATGGATAAACAACTGTGGTACCTCCAGACAATGCAATACTATTCAGTAATAAAAAAATATAAGCTACTGACATATGCAACAACACTATGCTAAAATACAAATGTCAGAAAAAAGGCAATATTTTCATGCCAGAAAGGAGATCACAGATTGGCATGGGTGGACGAGTAAGTAAAAGTAAAAGAACTGACTAACTAATCATCCTTTTAATCAATTGGAACTATGAGATACCATCTTTCAAAGTGGTTTTTATCTTTTAATTTATTTTTATTGACATTTTTCTTTTGGTGTATATGTTTTAACATTTGACATGGACAGTTTCATGTAAAGTTTCAAATAAAAACCTGAATAAAGAACTTTAATGAATAAAGAACTGAGAAAGACAACAGAATAAAGTACTGTACAAATAATTAAATTGAGAAGTATTTACTTTAAAAGGGGTGACACTATCTTACAGTTGCATGAATAACACATTTTTATATTTCATTAATTACTATGCCTTATAAAGAGATATTCTTAGGTAAGATAAGGGTTAAGATTCAATTTTATTAATATCTTTGGAATAAAAGATAAAAAAAAGAACAACAGGAGTAATTAGGAAAGTCAGCAGCAGAATTAAAGTTAGCCAAGATAATGAACAGATGTTATATGGTCTTAGTCATCACTAGGCTCTATGCTACATATTTCAAATGTAACTTTCCCGCCTTCTCTAAAATACAGTAGCTACACTGGGTGCAGTTGCTCATGTCTGTAATCTTAGCACTTTGGGAAGCCAAGGTGGGTGGATCACCTCAGGTCAGGAGTTCAAGACCACCAACATGGTGAAACCCCGTCTTTACTAAATACACAAAATTAGGTGGGCATGGTGGCACATGCCTGTAATCCCAGCTACTCAGGAGGCTGAGGCAGGAGAACTGCTTGAACCCAGGAGGCGGAGGTTGCAGTGAATTGAGATTGCACCATTGCACTCCAGCCTGGGTAAAAGAGCGAAACTCCATCTCAAAAAATAAAAATAAAAATAAAATGTAGCATCCACATACAAAATAAACTGATACTCTTTTTAAGTGATGAGTTTACTTGCTTTGAAAATATCATTGAGTTATACTGTATTTGATAAAATAGTATGCCTTTTCTATTTCATGGCATGAAGACGGCATTAAATAAGCCAACTAAATATTAATATTAAAAATTGAAATCTAAGAAACATTTTCTCCATGCTCATTAGGTCAAGCAATTCTAAAATAATGTTTTATAACTCAATAACCCAAATTTATCCTACTTACTTCCACCAATTAAAGGCATACAGAACACCACAATTGTATTGTTTGAACTAGAAATAATCTTAGAGGTAGATTTTAGAAAACTGCTCTATCCCAACGTTTTCCAATGTTTCACTCAGTTAAGCACACTTTTCATGGTAACTAGTATATTTCTATCAATTTATAATTTAAATTTACTATAGCAAAGATTGCCCATATGGTTATTAATCCCATGTCCTTCTCCTGAGCATAAAGAAAGTTAAACTTCCCAGTCTCCCAAACAGTTAGGTTAGACCCCATAACTAGGTCTGAACAATGGAATGAAGGCAAAAGTGATCTTCCTCCACATCCAGGCCAGGACCCAACAAAATCCTCAATTTGTCCCTGGACAAGAAGAAAAGGACTCTAAAATGAAGGAATGAAACAATGGATCCCTGAGTCACTTCTTGGAGGAGAACCACCCAAACAGCATCAGAGTGGGACAAAAATGGATGCCTAACAAGAGAGGCCCTTAAGCTTCTAAGAATTTGGGTTTATTACAGCACTTTCCATTAAATGCCTGGACTAATACCTTCACTTTAATACCTGTAGTTTAAAAGAAAATATTATAGCACTATTCATAAATGGAAAACTTGTGTTTTTCTAATATATTTTCAAGTAAACACTTAACTATTAAAATAAGAAATGTTAGCTAGGCATCATCTAAAATCATTTCATCAATAAAGAAAGTAATAAGAATTCCACTCTTTCAAAACTGTGAGAAAATTATTCATGAGAGGAAGATAGGAAAGGAACAAATCTTTTGGGAAGAAAAAAAGACCTATTAAAATTAAAGTAGGCCGGGCACAGTGGCTCACACCTGTAATCCCAGCACTTTGGGAGGCTGAGGTGGGTGGAATACCTGAGGTCAGGAGTTTGAGACCGGCCTGACCAACATGGTGAAATCCCATCTCTAATAAAAACACAAAAATTAGCCGGGCATGATGGTGCATGCCTATAAATCCCAGTTACTTGGGAGGTTGAAGCAGAAGAATTGCTTCAACCTGGGAGGCAGAGGTTGCAGTGAACCAAGATGGTGCCATTGCATTCCAGCCTGGGTGACAGAGTGAAACTCTGTCTCAAAAAAATTAATTAAATTAAAGTAAATTAAAGTGGGCCTCAAATATATCTTTTAAGAAAAACAATATTTAACAAAGAAGCAAAGGCATAATACATAAGAATTCTAACTCAACATCCAATCTTTCGATTCTATCACTCATCTATTCCTACAATATATAATACCTAAAGAACATGAAATGTGTATCTCTTTGATCTACTTTTATTCTGCTTAACTAAACCTTAAACAGAGACCATCCTAATATATACAACAGCCCTTTGTAACTGCGGGTTCCACATCTGTGGATTCAATCGACCACAATTCAAAAACATTAAAAAACAAAAAAATGGAGGCTTGCATCTGTGCTGAAATTGTAAAAAGTCTTTTTTTCTTGTCATTATTCTCTAATTAATATAAGATCACAACTATTTACATAGCATTTTCACTGTATTAGGTATTACAAGTAATCTGGAGATGATTTAAAGTATACAGGAGGACATGTGTAGGTTATGTGCAAACGCTTTACCAATTTTATATCAGGAACTTGAGCATCTGTGGATTTGGGTATTCACAGGAGATCCTGGAACCAATGTTCCACAGGTACCAACAGACAACCGTATATAACAAGTTGTATAAAGCCACTCTTTCAAAGTATTTGTTGTGTGATTACTAGATCAAACATTTTTGAGAGTACATAATTGAAAGATAAATCAACAAATTATGAAACCTGCTAGAAAGTTTCTATGATCATGTCTTTTTTTTTTCCCAAAGGAATTCTTGCAATGAGCAGGTATATTGCATATATAAATTAAACACAAAATCCCCTCCCAAAACTGTTTTAGATCCTTTATTTCTAAGACATCTTACTAGTTTTTAACTTGTAATATGGGTTTTATCATTTTTTATGAGGAAACAAAATATTCTAAGAACCAGTTTCAGTAACAACTTATCAACTAACATGAGCTTTTCTCTGCAGCTGGGTTATCAACATCAGAGGATGAAATATTTACAATAAAAACAAATGAATAGTATTCTGAGAAGAATGCGCTCTAGCCTCTGTTATATTTATTCTCAAAATACCTCATATGCATTAAGTTACATACGTACCTTGCTATAGAGGCTATGATTCCTACTTTTTTCTACTCCCCAGTCTTTTAAAAAGTTAAAAATAATTTAGCTTATTTTAAAAACAAGTCAGTGGAAATAACATACTTATCAGATTTCCTTTTGTATCCCTGAGAGGAGCACCACCTCCACCTTTTCCCCAGGGATTATATGTTCTCATTTCAGCTTCTAATTTAGCTTCATATTCTTCTTTTTCTTCACGTTCTTTCTTCCTTCTTTCTTCTCTTTCCCGAATCTTGACAACATAAAACATATTTAAAATAAATGCTGACAAGTATTCCAATACAAGAAGTTAGTAATACCAGATGTTACTTTTTGTTAGAAAACGAAAAAAAAAAATTTTTTTTTCAGTATACTCCCCTACAAAGATTAAAATCACAAATACGTAATACTCAATGTAAAAATACTTTAGGCCAGGTGTGGTGGCTCATGCCTACGGAGGTCAAGGTGGGCAGATCACGCAAGGTCAAGAGTTCAAGACCAGCCTGGCCAACATGGCAAAACCCCGACTCTACTAAAAATACAAAAATTAGCCGAGTGTGGTTGCGCACATCTGTAATCCCAGTTACTTGCATGGTTGAGGAACAAGAATTGCTTGAACCCAGGAGGTGGAGTTTGTAGTGAGCCATTATGCCCCTGCACTTCAGCTTGGGCAACATTATGCAAGACACTGTCTCTAAATAATTAAACAACATTAAAAATAAAAATAATTCAATGGCTAGAATACATAGCCCCTGTTCCTCTATATACACCAAATGACTTTCCAGCCACTAAGGCTATTTCAGACTCAACTAACTCCTACTTCCCTCCCCCAGTGTCTACCTGAGCCATTCCCTCTCTAACCCTGACAGTTCCATGGGACCATCAGATCTCCCTATGTTCCTTTTTCATCTATCCTTTCAAGGATTATGCCCAGCCACAAAGTCTACCCTCAACCTTACCAGACCTACTTTCCCTAGGCAAACTCTATTCTCAAAATTCTGAGGTTGGAGGATCAACGCTCTCTGGGGAATGCTTGGCAACATTAAATACAGGCATACCTCATTTTATTGTGCTGCACTTTATTGTGCTTTGCAGACGTTGAATTTTTTTTCTTTTTTTTTTTTTTTGAGACGGAGTTTCGCTCTGTCGCCCAGGCTGGAGTGCAGTGGCACGATCTCGGCTCACTGCGAGCTCTGCTTCCCGGGTTCACGTCACTGTCCTGCCCCAGCCTCTGGAGTAGCTTGGGACTACAGGAGCCCCCAACCATGCCCAGCTATTTTTTGTATTTTTAGTAGAGACAGGGTTTCACCATGTTAGCCAGGATGGTCTCGACCTCCTGACCTCGTGATCCACCCACCTCAGCCTCCCAAAGTGCTGGGATTACAGGCGTGAGCCACCACGCCCGGCTACAGACATTGCATATTTTACAAATTGAAGGTTTATGGCAACCCTGAACTGAGGAGGTCTATCAGTAACATTTTTCTAACAGCATGGGATAATTTTATGTCTCTGTGTCACATTTTGGTAATTCTCACAATATTTCAAACTTTTAAAATTATTATTGTATCTGTTATGGTGATCTGTAATTGGTGATCTTTAGTGTTACTATTGTAATTGTTTTGGGGCGCCATGAATCACACACACAAAAGATGGCAAATTTAATGGATAAATGTCATATGATTCTGACTATTCTACCAATCAGCCATTCCCCTGTCTCTTTCCCTCTCCTTGGGTCTCTCTTTTCCCTGATAGAATACTGAAGTTAGGCCAATTAATAACCCTACGATGGCATGTAAGTGTTTGAGTGAATGAAAGAGTCACACCTCTCACTTTAAATCAAAAGTGAGAAATGACTAAGCTTAGTGGGAAAGGCTTGTCAAATGCATAGATAGGCTGAAAGCTAGGCCTCCTATGCTAAATAAACACTTTGCCCAGTTGTAAATGCACAGGAAGAATTCTTGAAGAAAATTAAAAGTGCTACTCCAGTAAACACATGAATGATAAGAAAGTGAAACAGCCTTATTGCTGTTATAGAGAAAGTTTTAGTGGTCTAAATAGAAGATCAAACCAGCCCAGGATTTCCTTAAGCCAAAGCCTAAACGAGAGCAAGGCCCTAACTTTTTTCAATTCTATAAAGGCTGAGAGAAGTGAGGAAGCAGAAGAAAACCTGCGAGTTAGCAGAGGTTGGTTCATGAAGTTGGGGGAAAGCTGCCATCTCTATAACATAAAAGTACAACATGGGCCGGGCTCACACTTGTAATCCCAAAACTTTGGGAGGCCGAGGTGGGCGGATCACCTGAGATCAGGAGTTCGAGACCACCCTGACCAATATAGCGAAACTGCACCTCTACTAAAAATACAAAAAAAAAAGAAAAGAAAAAAAATTATCTGGGCGTGATTGTGGGTGCCTGCAGTCCCAGCTACTCGGGAGGCTGAGGAGGAGGTTGCAGTGAGCCAAGATCGTGCCACTGTACTCCACCCTAGGCTGGGCGACAGAGTGCGACTTTGTCTCAAAACAAAAATAAAAATAAAAAAGTACAACATGAGGCAGCAAGTGCTGATGGAGAAGCTGCAGCAAGTTACCCAGAAAGTCTAGCTCAGATAACTGATGAAGGTGGTTCCACTAAACAACAGATATTCAATGGAGACAAAACAGCCTTGTATTAAAAGAAGATTTTCATAGCTAGTAAAGAGAAGTCAATGTCTGGTTTCAAGCTTCAAAGGACAGGCTGACTCTCTCATTAGAAGCTAATGCAGCTGGTGACTTTAAGTTGAAGCCAATGCTAACATACCATTCTGAAAACCTTAGGGCCCTTAAGAATGATGCTAAATCAACCAGGCATGGTGGCTCACGCCTGTAATCCCAGCACTCTGGGAAGCCGAGGCAGGTGGATAACGAGGTCAGGAGATGGAGACCACCCTGGCTAACACGGTGAAACCCTGTCTCTACTAAAAATACAAAAAAAAAAAAAAATTATCCAGGTGTGGTGGCGGACGCCTATAGTCCCTCCCAGCTACTCGGGAGGCTGAGGCAGAAGAATGGCGTGAACCTGGGAGGCAGAGCTTGCAGTGAGCTGAGATCGCACCACTGCACTCCAGCCTGGGAAACAGTGTGAGATTCCGTCTCAAAAAAAAAAAAAAGGATGCTGCTAAATCTACTCTGCCTATGCTCTAGAAAGGAAACAACAAAGCCTGGATTGCTGCACAACTGTTCCAAGAATGGTTTACTGAGTATTTTAAGTCCACTGTTGAGACTTACTACTAAAAAAAAAAAAAAAGAGAGATTCCTTTCAAAATATTACTGCTCATTGACAATGCATCTGGTCAATCAAGAGCTAGATATACAAGATGATTAACGTTGTTGTCATGCTTGCTAATACAATATCCATTCTGTAGCCCATTAACTCATGGAGTAATTTTGACACTGAATTCTTACTGTTCAGGAAATATGTTTCATAAAGCTATAGTTGCCACAAACAGTAATTCCTCTGATGGATCTGGGAAATCTAAACTGAAAGTCCTCTGGAGAGAATTTACCATTCCAGATGCCATCAAGAACATTTGTGAGTCATGGAAGGAAGTCAAAATATCAACAGTATCAGAAGTTCGAAAGAAGTTGACTCTAACCCTCATGGATGACTTTGAGGGATTCAAGACTTCAGTGGTAGAAGTAACTGCAGATGTGGAAGAAATAGTAAGAGAACTGGAATTAGAAGTGAGGCATGGAAGACTTGAGAGAATTGCTGCAATCTCATGATGAAATTTCAATGGATGAGGAGTTGCTTCTTACGAATAAGCAAAGAAAGTGGTTTCTTGAGATGGAGTCTCCTCTTGGTGAATATGTTGTGAATATTGTTGAGATGACAACAAAGATTTAGAACATTACATAAACTAAGTTGATAAAGCATCAGCAGGGTTTTGAGAGGACTCCAAACTTTGAAAGAAGGTCTACTGAGGATAAAATGGTATCAAATAGCATCGTATCCTAGAGAAATCTTTTATGAATGGAGTCAACTGATGCAGCAAATTTCACTGTTGTCTCATTTTGAGAAATTGCCACAGCCATCCAATCTTCAGCAACTGCCACCCTGATCGGTCAGCAGCCATCAATATTGAGGCAAGACTCTCCACCAGCAAAAGGATTATGACTTGCTAAATTTTTTTTAGCAATACGGTATTTTTAAATTAAGTTTACGTACCTTAAGACATGTTGCACCTTAACAGACCACAGTATAGTGTAAAGATTAACTCTACGTGCACTGGGAAACCAAAAATTCATGTGAATCATTTCATTGTGATATTTGCTTTATTGCGGTGGTCTGTAACCAAACCTGCAATATTTCTGTAAAGCTGTATTCAGTAAAAAAACAAACGGATTCTTATCATCACTAAGTATAAGCACAGGGTTGTTCTGTAGAGACATACGGATAGACAATAAACAAGTGTCTACATTTTGGAAAGTCACTTTTAAACTCATAACTATATGCACAGTAAATTTAAGCAACCTTTTGCTCCAGCACAGCCAAAGAAGTCATCACACACATCAAATAGACCTCTATCGTCGAAAAATCTAGTTTTGTCAGTGGTGTTTTTAACATGCTCATTCAAAAACAGATTCTGAATTTAAAATTCAGTCTTTTATTTGTAGAATCCTAACATACAAAAATTTTTGGTAATTCTGTAATTTTAAAAATCTTTCAAGAAAGTTGCCCACGTAAAAATTGAACAAAAGTACTTTTAAAAGAAATCCAAGTGGAATTCTATAGAAAAGTAACTAAGTTAGAGTCCCAGGGCCCTCTCAGAGGTTAAGGGAATTCCCACAAAGAACCCCACACATTTGATAGTTACTCTTAAATTCTCTGCAAATATTACAAACTACAAAATAATCCATTATCCTCCTCTGTAAACATGAACTACTTCCTGTTTTCTCTATTTTGGTTTATAGCCTCATTATTCTCCTAGGAATCATCTTCAAACCCTCTGTTATTTCTCCCTCCCTATATCTAAGTCCTGTCAATGAAACCTGAGAATTGTCTCTTAGATGTCTTCCCCAACATCCCCATCTGGTTCAGGGCCTCATCACCTCCTTATTGGACTATCTACTAAATAATTTCCCTGCCACATCTCTTCCCAATTGTCCAAATCACAACCAATTATCTTCATAAAAGATAAATCTGCTCAAAGCAACCAATCCTTTCATACTTTTCTTGGCTTAAAATCTCCTTCCTTCAGCTGCCCATAACCAGATGAAACTGAAAACCCCTTATTAGCTAGTCCTTCACAATCTACTAGAACAATCTAACCCTCCAGCCCCTTCTTCCACACCAATTCCATTCTCTGTATACACCAGCAACTTCTAATGTATTCATTGCACAACATGCAGCTCAAATATCAGCCACTGCGTGAAGTTCTCCCAACTGCCCCAGGCAATTATTTTTCCTATCCTATGCTTCCAAGAGCATTTTACTGTATCCACTTCAAAACTCAGCATTTTGAATTATAATTAACTGGTTTTTTCCCCTCCCCTGCCACACTCTGAGCTCTAAGGGACCACACCATGCATACACTTAAGATGTTCAACAGTAAATGAGTAAATGAATCAATACCTGCTGCTGCAAAGCCTCTTGGTAAGACTGAAGTGACTGTTTGGAAGGTTTCGGTTTATCTTCAAAAATCAATCCTGAATTTATCACTTGATCACTTGTAATCTTCAGTTCATTCTGTCCGACCGTATTCCTACATCAAATACACAATAAATAATTTAAATCCATCGATGTCAAAGCAAGAAGAAAACACAACAGTTTTTTGAAATAGCATGGCATATAAATACATTTAAAAATACAGAAGGATATTTCTCTATAGGCTAAAGAGGAATCCTTAAGTAAGTGGCCCTTTCCTTAGCTCCTTTCTGCCTTTGTTTTGACAATCCTTGCAACTTTCAAATTTACTGCATCTATTTCTTAACCTAGGTAATAGTTACACAGGAGTGAAAAAGGTTTGTGGTAATTCATTGAACAGTACACATGTGACTTAGGCAGTTTCCTGAACATACAGAAATAATAACACAGCCAAAGTCCCTCAAGTAACACAATAACTAAAGATTTATTTTTAAATGATTTACTAATAAAATTACTTCTTAGCTATTTCAAGAATAAAACAATGTAATTACAGGAAAAAGTCTGACTATCTCAAATAAAATTAAAATTTTTGAAAAACTCACAAGGAAACATAAAAGAAAAAATTTTAAACATATTCTTGTTATATAAATCACAAGCAATAAAGTGCTGTTTTTTTGGTTTTTTTTGAGACAGGGTCCTACTTCGTCACCCAAGCTGTAGTGCAGTGGCGCCACCATAGCTCACTGCAGCCTTGATCTCCTGGAATCAAGTGATCCTTCAACCTCAGCCTTTCAAGTGGCTAAGGGTATAGGTGCACGTCACCACACCCGGCTCACTTTTTTTAGAAACGAAGTCTTCCTACATTGCCCAGGCTGGTCTTGAACTCCTAAGCTCAAGTGATCTTCCTGCCTTAGCCTCCCAAAGTGCTGGCATTACAGGCGTGAGTCACTGCACCCAGCCAACATAACACATGTTTAAGTACAGGAATATACTGACTTTGAAGGCAGTAAAACATTTTAGAAATCTACATTATAAAAGATAAATTCAAATATCGATTTTATAATTTTTTGTTTTGTTTTGTTTTGAGATGGAGTTTCACTCTTGTCGCCCAGGCTAGAGAGCGATGGTGCCATCTCCGTTCACTGCAACATCCACCTCCCGGGTTCAAGCAATTCTCCTGCCTCAGCCTCCCGAGTAGCTGGTACCACAAGTGCCCACCACCACACCCGGCTAATTTTCGTATTTTTAGTAGAGACGGGGTTTCACCATGTTGGCCAGGCTGGTCTTGAACTCCTGGCCTCAAGTGATCCACCCGCCTCAGCCTCCCAAAGTGCTGGGATTATAAGCATTAGCCACCGCGCCCAGCCTGATTTTAAAATTTTAAAAAAGCTTTCTCTTCTCCAAAAATATCACTGCTTTAAAAAATCAGTTCCATTGTGTATTTACCTTTTCTAACTTACTTACAATCTTTTATTAAGATAAACAAGTATGTTTGTGTATACTATCACATTGGATTACGAGTAGGTAAAAGGGAAGATGAGGTAAACTAGATCAAATAGTTCCTAACTGACTTTTTATTTTTTCAGAGCAAGGGGGCTCTTTTTGGGTAAATGAATAAACAAGGTTGAGAGGGTCTATGTGAGTAAACTCATTCTCTCAAAATATACTGTTTATAAATTATATGGTGGATTGGTTCTCTCAATATCTATTTCACTCATGATCCCTCCTGTCTATATCGCCCACATACTCACAGACCCAAATTCTTAACCTTTATCTATCAACTCCTCCCTGACTCCCCCAAAAAGGGGGTTTAAGGATTTATGTAGTCAGATCAGGATGAAAGGAAGGAAATGATTAGGGTATTAAGTACAGTCATCCCTTGGTATCTCTGTGGGATTGTTTCCAGGACTCTCTGCCTATACCAAAATCAGAGTATACTCAAGTCCCAAAGTGAGCCCTATGGAACTCCCACATAAGAAAAGTAGGCCCTCCACATACATGGATTTCACATCTCACTTTATTTATTGTACTTTCTATTGCAGTTGGTTGAAAAAAATCTACATGTAGGTGGACTCATACAGTTTAAACCTGTGTTATTGAGGGTCAACTGTGTACAATCAAATGATTTTTAGTAAATTTATAAAGTTGTGCAACCATCACCATAATCCAGTTTTAGAACATTTTTATAACCCAAAAATATCCTTCATACCCATATGCAATCAACCCCTACTCAACCCCCAACCCCAGGTAATTAATTAAGTAGCCTACTTTCTGTCTCTATAGATTTGCACTTCCTGGACATTTTATATAAATGGGACCACTATAGTATACATGTATAGATTTATTTATCATAACATTTATAAGGTTCATCTGTATTATATCAGTAGTTCATTACTTTTTGTTGCTGAATAGTACTTCATTGCATGAATATAACACATTTTGTTTATCCATTCACTCACTGATGGACACTTGAATTGTTTCCACTTTTTGACTATTATCAATAACGCAGCTATAAACATTCACATCCAAGTCTTTGCATCTACATGTATTTTTATTTCTTTTGATTACATGACTAGGAATGGAATCGCAGTGTCATATTCTTTTTAAGGAACTTCCATTTCCTGCAACTGCTTTTGATATATTGATTTTGTAATCAGTAATTCTGTGAAAACTTTCATATTAATTCCAATATTAACCATATATTCTTTTGCAAATAACAGCAGTTTTCTCTCTTCCTTTCTAATCCTTGTACCTATCTTCCTTCCTTTCTTTCTCTTATTTTTGGCCTTGCTGAAATTATTAAGCCCTGTGAAAGGAAGCAATGATAGAATCTCAAAAGGAATGTTTTAAATCTATCACCATTAAATAAAATACATGATGTAAGTTTTTCATGTTTATAGGCTCCCCTCTAACCTACTTTATTACATTTTTAATCACTAATGAAATTATTTTAATGGTTTTTCTTTGCCTTTTGGGATATCATACAGCCTTCTTCTTTATTCTGTTAACATGGTAGATTACAGTAGTTGATTTAATCTAACACCAATTAGCTCCTAGTATTCAGACACTGTCCTAAACACTTTACATATTTTAACCATTCGATCATCAGAAAAACCCTATGAGGTGATATCATTATTACCCCAATTAACAGACAACGAATAGGAGTAAGAAATATACCTCAAGCTAATGCATGGTAAAAGTATGATTCAAACCAAGGCAATCAGGCTCCGAAGTCTAGGCTCTTAACTGATATACTCTACTACATTTAATCATCCTATATTCGAGAGTAATTCTAATTCAAGATCAATAATCCTTTCTCTATACTTTGAGGTTCAGTTTTAGGATTCTTGTGTCTGTGCTAATGAGTGTAACTAGCTTGTAATTTTCCATTTCATACTGGTCTTATTAGGTTTAAGTATCAAGATTATGAAAGTCTCATAATAGTAACTGGAGAGTATTCCTTCATTCCACACTCTGTATTAGTCTGTATAAGACTGAATCCGGCCAAGAAGGTTTTTTTTTTTTTTTGAGATGGCATCTCGCTCTAGTCACCCAGGCTGGAGTGCAGAGGCGTGATCTTGGCTCACTGAAACCTCCGCCTTTCAGGTTCAAGTGATTCTCCTGTCTCAGCCTCCCGAGTAGTTGGAACTACAGGCATGTGCCACCACACCCAGTTAATCTGAGATGGAGTTTCACCATGCTGACCAGGCTGGTTTTGAACTCCTGACCTCGGGTGATCCACCCACCCTGGTGTCCCAAAGTGCTGGGATTACAAACATGAGCCACTGCACCCAGCCAACAAATTCTTAACTTATTCCATCACCAAAGTTGAAAAAGATCAGACAGTTAATAAAACAAACAATTTCCCAATTCTATTTTGGTTCTTCTTTTTTGAATTTTTTGCTCTATTACTGTAGTAAGTTGTACCTTTTGTTCCTATACTTTTAGTGGCTACACTAGAAATATAATAACACACCCATCTTTATGAAAGACTAAAGCTAATCAAAATCTTTACCATCCTCTCAAATGATACAAAAAATAAAGTGTGCTAAATTAATGAAGTCAATGGAAAGAAGACAGATTGTGTGTACATCAAAATAGCTCACAGAGTCACAGGTTCCTTCCACCTCTCATGCTAAAATGCTTGGAAACAAATAGAGATATTTGAAAGTCATTGGTTTGTAAGATAATTCAGCTGGTCACTCAGTTATCTAACTTTTATAACAAGTTTACACTTTTTAATGTGGCCTTCAGAAAAATTTAACAGAAAAGAACTTATAAACAACTATACTGAGGATGGGAATTAGGATTAACTATAAATGGGCATGAGGGATCTTATTGGAAGGATGAAAATGTTATAAAACTGATTTATAGAAAGCACTTCTAGAATGGCAGAATAAGAACTTTAAGAAAACCTGCTACTCCATTAAAGCAACGAGAACACGAGTCAAAATTGTCAAAACCAACTTTTTAATAATTCTGGTGCCATGTACTGAATTGTGTTCTTATATCAAAGCCCTGCGTACTATTCTGATGGTATTTGGAGCTGGGGACTATGAGAGGTAATTAGGTTTAGATGAGATTAGGAAGGTACAGTCCTCGTGACGAGATTAAGTGTACTTAAGAAAAACTGGGGAGGGGTGAAATGGAGTGGGGGAAAGACCAGAGACCTTGCTCTCTCTACTACGTGAGGATACAATGACAAAGTCAGGAAAAGGGCCCTCATCAGGAACCAAATCTGCTGACACCTTTATCCTGGACTTCTATGTCTCCAAAACCAAGAAAAAATGTCTGTTGTTTAAGCCACCCAGTCTATGATATTTTGTTATAGCAGCCTGAGCTAAGTAATTTGGAAATTCATGGAAGGCTTGGAACAATCCAAGGAGAGTTTTTGTTTTTATGTTAAGGTTGGTTTTCAGTAAGAAAAACAAACTTTGTGGCATTTGAACTTGCCCTTTACTTTTCAATTTCTCCTTAGCTCTATCATAAACTTAAAATCTAAACGCTGCCCAAAGACAGTTGCTGTGAAAACCAGTAATCTAGTATCCACTGGACAGGTAGAATAGGTCTGGAATTCCCCAAAAATCCAATCTCTAGAAAAATCTCACTTTTGACCTG